CTTTCAGTGTATCGTTTGGTCATTTAAGGTCATAAAGTTCATTCAAATTTTAAAAAATGTATTATTGTAAAAAAGAAATTGTAATAAAAAATTATTTTGAAGCTGAAAAATTATTGTGAAACATGAAATAAACTGAAAGCAAAAAATTTTAAACTGATAAAAGTGAAACTACAAAAGGTCCAAAATGACTCAGTTTCAGATGTTTTTTTCTTTTGAACAAACTACCAGGCTTTATTTACACCCCACCAGATTTACCATTACTTGTTTATTTATTTTAGGGGTTATTTTAGGTCAGTTTATGTATTGTTAATAATGTCTTCCAATTTTCAAATTTCATGTCGACTTTGAAAATGTTTTCACGGAAACACTCGGCTTAACAAGTTTTGTGGAAAAAACCTTGAACTGGATAATTCAGGTGAGTTATTTTCATACTCCACATCAACACCAAATACACACCAGAGAGGCAAAACATTATGACCACCTATCAGGGAAGTAAATAGATGTGTTTTTTCCAGTTTTTCATAAAGAGCGGATTTAAAACCAAAATTTTTCATGCACTATTTTGAGCTGATTTATCCAAAAAAGTACACTGCAGTTTGTCGTTTCACTGTGATAAACATTCAGAGATTCCTAAACTCTATCAGAGACATTTTTATAGGAGTGTCATGTAAACATGTTTGTATGAACTGGTGCCAATCCTGGCCACTCACAGCTGCCCGCGGCTCAGAACCAGCTGAACCCGTGACAGCCCACCGCGCTCCAGAGTCATTTCACAGCTTCCTCTCTTCAACGGAGCGCAGGTGTGACTCCGACTCGCTCCTCCAGCTAAAAACACAACTGCTTCAGCGTCATTAGAGCGGCAGGAAAAGGTCGGAGAACAAGGAACAGCTTCCGCGGAGCAAAGACTGTGTTTGTCAAAATGTTGTGAAAAAAATATCAGACGAAACTCCACGTTTGCAGCTTGTTTGGAAAAATATTAGAGTTTAACCAAATGCAGAAGGAAGAATCAAATAATCATAAACAAATAAAGATTATAAGGATTCTCTTTGTACAGCTGACATTAAAAATGTAAATAATCAATGGAGAACTGTATTAATCAACAGCACTAGAAATCCTAAACTACTCCTGTGGGATCCCAATTTACTTTACTTTCATTAGATCCCAGATTACTTTTTGTGAGATCCCAATTTGCTTTCACAAGATCCAAACTGAACAAAATCCACTGGCAGATTATTTCACTTATAACATGGGAAAATATCTTAGTTTTATCTTATTTTAAATGTAGTACTATATTTGTACAAGAAACTAGTCAAAATTACTTGGTGAAAGCAGTTTAAACATCTTTACAATAAAAACTCTTACTTTTAACTGAATTTGAGAAACAACGTTGGTTCTATCTACAAATCATATACAGATTTTAAAAATTAAGTCCAAAAGCAGAAACTTTCTTTCTTTTCTCTTTTTTTCCTTATCTTTTGCTGCGCTGCTTAGTGAAAAATGCAAAATAAAGTCAAAGTTTAAACTTCAAAGTTTGCAAACTGACCCGGAGAACATTGCGTCTGTAAATCGGTGCTGACCCAGGTTGTGTGTTTAAGAAATGTCGCTACTCTGACAGCACAGCTGAGCAGGAATCAGGAGGCAATTAGCCACAAATTAACCTGAACAGAGGGAGGATGTGAGGTTGAAATGTTAATCACACAAATCCTAAAACAGGAAGAGGAGAGAGAGAAACAGCAGCAGGATAATCCTTTTTACTTAAATAAAACTGGAAATGAAAGACACACAGAAGCGGTTTTAAAGAGACATAATGTGAAACCAAAGCACAAAATCTCACCAAGTATTTTGGTTCATTTATTTGGTTTCAAAGATTTAGACAAAAGCTTGCAATGTGTGACTTTAATAAAAACACATATTTTTTACACATTTAATGAAACCGTCACTCTGTCATGACAAATTTTATGAGACAATCCTCTGGCTTCTCCGAGTGCTAACTAGAAACAACCAATAAGAGAGAGCCAGGAGGCGGGTCTTAGCACTGTCAATCACGCCTGTGTATGCTAAGACTTGTTAGTATGATCACAGTAAGTTGCTTCTCTGGCTTTAGCACATTTATCAGCGCGTTCACAAGTTTGATTGACAGCGCTGAGCCCACTTCCTGGCTCTGATTTGTTGTTTTTGGTGAATTTCTTCAGACAGCGATAGCAGGTCAGGGAGAAGGTGGAGGAAATTGATCTTTTCACAGGTTATCTGTCTCATATTAGCATGTAAAATAATATAAGTTGATTAAAGTTAGAGTTTTACTGCATTTTACAACATTCCACTCATTCTTTACAAATCACCGCTGGCAGTTTGTTTGTGCAGAGGGAAAAAGAAGAAAGCAGTAAGTGAACTAATAATTAGTCCAGCAGCAGTTGAGCCAAATGAATGTTAGTGTAATTTAGGGGGAAGCAGACACGCTCCAGTGCGAGCCAGGATGGAAGAGGCGAGAGACTCGGCGGCACATCGCGCCCCATCGCCATGGAAACAGGAAGAGGGCAAGACAATGGCTGGACTGGGTTGGTGCGGGGAGAACGGGTTGGAAACGTGGGATAGAGGGAGTCAGGCGGGAGAGAGGGGGGCCTGTGTTTGTTTTGTTAATTTAGCTCTGCGCCCCGACGGACACGGCTAATAATGAAAATATTAAAAGTGAATGATGCTCTCAGGCTCTGCTGACATTCAGGCAATCTTGGTCTAAAAGTCTGATCATAAAAATTAATAGATTCTGCAAAATTATGAAGATGATTATACCGCCAGCAGGCTAATCCTGCTGCTGAAGATGTCGATGAAACGTGATTAAAGAAACAATCAGAACATATTTACTTTGCAAATGTGAGAATAATTTCAGAAAGTCAGAACAGCGTCGTAATGATAACTGACAATCTTTAGGGAAACAAACTAAACGTTACATAAGTCCCAAATCTCAACATTATGAAAGGATTTTCATCCATTTCTAGTTTTATTTAAATGTAACTTGGAGTACAGCGTAAGGTGACAAAATGCACCTGAGAACTTTGTGATGCTATAATCTAAATGCTAAAAATCACCTCAGGGCGATCATCACAGAAAGCACAAAACTAGAGAGTAAAAGTCAAAAAGAAAAAAGAAACTTTAAAGATATGTTTTCTGATGCGCACAGAAACTTGCTGGAAAAAAGACAACATGATAATTAAGGAGGCGTGAATCTCAGAAAACACACCAATGTCACAAAAAGGGGCAAATTTAACACAAAACTGGTGTAAACAAAGCTTTAAAAAGTACTCAATATGTACTTTGTTCAGATTAGAAGAATTTCTTTTAAATTTTTAACCAAAAGCAAAAAAAGTGATAAAATTCTGCATTTTGCCACACTTATTTTTTCCACTCTAAAGTATCAGTTCCAATAAACAAGTACATGCTAACTGCTACATGCTAACTGGTGAAAGATGCTACTACGGTAGCAAGCTAGCAACATAAACAGGATCTGCATTTGTTTATGTGTGACAGTCTTAAATGCTATGGGTATGTCAGCGTGCAGCCGTGGTAGCGTGAGCAGATAAAACAGATAGAGAAAAGACAGAGAGTCCTTCTGTCCATAACAATGTTCCTTATGAATGTCTTGTAACAGTTTTGGTCCATAAAGTTACAAGATTCATAGTTTCTCTTAAAAAGGATATTTTAGTTTCATTTGTCTTTCTATTTTTCACAATGTAGAATCAGGGCTTTTATCTTCTTTTTTTTATGCCGTATGTTTGAGGAGGAAGCTGCACTGAACTAGCAGGGAGTCTGAAAAACACTGTAATAACACAGGAATGATGACGGCCCTCGGACTTAATAATGAACACTTTCTCAGATGTCTCAGTAATAAGAATAATTGTGAATTTCAATAAAAAAGATAATAAGCCAGGGAAAACAAATAGAAGAGTAAGAAAACAGTTACAATTTAGAAATGCTTCAAAATCACTAGATACATCTTATCTGGGGGAGTTGTTGCAAAAATGTGGAAATGTTCAACATCAGAAATGATTGCAAGAATGTTAGGGTTGTGTAGTTAAAGTATTCATGATTTGTTATGTTAAATTAGTCTGTATTCGTACATATATAAGTCAGTGAATCATGTTTTCATAGAGTTAATAATAAACCATATTTTATATAATTTGCTTGTACTGGTGGGAAAACAACAGTGGCTGGTGAAATGTCTGAGTGGCCGGTAAAAGAAAATTCTCTACCAGCCACTGTGGCTTTTGCAGAACATTTTTAATGTCCACCTCTGTGCAGCAGCCCACTGCAGGTCAAGGACTAGCACAGCGTGGTCAAGATTATTTTAATATAAAATGTAACCATTTGATCCACTGACGTTGCATTACCCTAACTAAGCAACTGATTTAATATCAGTATTATCAGTTCAAGCAAAGCTTTGATAAAGAAAGTCCCGTTTTAAATGTAGATTTCTGGCCTGACTGACCTGAAATAGTCATATAAAATAAGTCTTCTGTCTAACCTCTACAAGCTGTAGCAGGCGGAAACAATCACAACTTTATCAAAGGACCAAGTCTACAACAGTATTGGGATCTTATTGAGTTTTAGCAAAGCATTCACCAAAAACCAGCTTCATGAAAATCTGGCAGTAGATGCTTCAGTGAAGGAGAGTCAGTCTTAGGTTTTGTCAAGTTGAGCTTATTAAATATTTTCGTCATTTTTAAAGACATGAATTTCAGACACTGGTAACTCTGCCATGTTTTATCCTTTTAATCTGCCAAATTTAAAGGAATACTACAAATCCTCAGCTAAAATTGCTCTGTACTTTGTCTTAAAACCTTTGGACTGAGACTGACTGACTGAGCAGCCAGAAATAAAAACTGATAGTCATACAGAGAGCCTGCAGACCCATGGATCAGATGTCAGGGGCGGCCCAGCTAGCCTGGCAGAGATCAGTGTCTGTTCTGTGATTGGATGGGCACTGCTAGACTTCCTGTGTAGCAGGAAGTTGTGAACAGAGTTTAGAAGATGCTGCAGGACTGCAGACAATCACAGGAAGCTGGACCAGCAATGGCTCTGCTGAAGGTTCTGTTACTGCTGGGGCTGGGTGAGTCGCACACACTGCACACACCTCCACTGGCACTGGATGCTACCATCTGTGTTTTATTTTATTTTCTAAAGCTGTCAAGTTGGTTCCTTATTTCTACTGTGTGGATTTAATTTGCTGAAAACAGGAACTTCCTTCTCCAGGTGCTGCAGTGAGCTCAGTGTCTCTGCAGAAAAGAATCATTGGAGGTAAAACCTGTAGAGACGACGACCGTCAGTATCATGTGAAGGTCTTTGCAACTAATCAAACATCAGACAAATTTTGTGGAGGATCTCTGATCAGTAGTCAGTGGGTTCTGACTGCAGCTCACTGCTGGCAGTCAGGTCCAGGATGGTGAGTCAGGACAACTAAAAAAAAAATCACCAATAACTGATTGTTTCCTTAATAATTGTCTTTTTGGCGTAGGGTTAACGAGGCACATGTAGGAGTTCATCCTGTAAGTGCTCCAACGCTGGTTTATAGAATCAGTCGACATGAGTTTTATGTAGACAGCAACGGTCGTGTACATGACATCATGCTCCTGAAGCTGCCAGTAAAGGTCACAACGATCCAACCAATCAGACTACCTGACTGTCCAGATACTCTCTTACTGTAAGTTTTATCTTCTCAAATTTCAGAACTTGGTTCTTGATCTGCCACATGAGGAAAATGTTTGAGCTCTGGTTAGTTGTTTTTCTTCATGTCACTTATTTTCGGTTTTGTTTTTCTTGTGTTTCAGTGGCACCAAGGTTGAGTTTGCAGGTCATGGATCAACACAAGTTGGCCTGTTTAACAAAAGACGTGAGATGAATGTTCATGTTTCTCATTGTTTTTGTTGTTACCTCAAAATGATTCAAATTGGTTTTTCGACTCTCTGCTGAAGCTGAACTTAAAAACATGTTGACATTTTTATAATCAAAAACTCTCTGTTTAAAGCTGAAATAGGAAGTTCTGAGAAAAACATTTGTAAGCTTAGCATGAAAATTTGAACCAGCAACGTTACAGGTCCTTCCCCTGTAAAGTGAGCAGCGCGTACATGAGCTGATTGACAGGGCTAAGACCCTCCTCTCGGCTCTGATTGGTTCTTTCTGACCTTGAGTGGTGCATTTCTGCAGATATTGAGGTGGAGGAACTCAATCTTCAGTTTTGATACAAATGTAAAAATACATTTTATACAAGTAACAATCACAGATAAGAAGGTGATAACCTGAGCAAAATGTATCATCAGACCTTACAAGTTTATGATGTTTTTCCTCTACAGTCCATCAGTTTCCAAATGAGCTTCAGTGTGCAGAGTTAAAGATTGCCAAACATGAAAAGTTGGAACTGACATTGGCAAAACAAAAGAGCTTTAAGCGCACATTCCAGGAGTGGTACAGTGTGTCAAGCTCGAAGAGGGAAGCATCTCACGTATGTCACTCTTTTAAGAATTTCTGCACAAAATTTGGACATTGTTTCCATTTTACTGGATAAATCTCAGCAGCAAAACAAGTAAGAGCTTTGTGTTTGTGACAGGGCGACTCTGGTGGAGGATTGGTGTTCAACAACAGGCTGTATGGCGTTTGTGCCTTCGTTGGAGATCCAGCGTATGCATTCAGAGACCCAATTGGATTCATGGATGTCTGTTACTACAAGCAGTGGATAGATGACACAATTAGATAACCAAACACTCTGCTAGGTGTCTGGATTGTGGATGAATGTTACCGGCATAATAAGTTAATCTTTAAATTTCAGTTTTTAGTTGATTCATTTTCTGATTTACAGCTGAATTGTTGGGGGATTTAAGTTATTTTGTACAAGTTAATCTGCGATAATATCTTATTTCTCAATAAGTAAAGCTGCTGTTTGTAATAATCAGTAATAATATCCACTGTCACATGACTAGAAAATAAATGGCTGTGATCTGAACAGATTGTCTCTCTTGTGCTTATTTCTGGTAGTTAGTGAAGAAAAGGACAGATTTTAAAATATTGAACACATATTGAACTTTAAAGGCTGAGTCAATAAAAACTACTTCCAGAACAGGAACATCAAAAAGTCCAGAGGATACATACTAACTTATACTTATGTAGCAATTAGAACAGGGACTAGAACAAACTTAGTCCAGAAAAAACTACCTTAGTAACGCTTAGGACACTTCTTTTTTCTGCTTTTCTCTTTTATTTGGTTTGCCATTCGGCCCGAGCAGCGAAAGCGATGCAAAGGCCTATAATAATAACTAACTAATTACATATTAGAATAATAAACAACTAAAAAAGTTGTACTTTTAGTATTTAAAAAAAAAAAAAACTAAAAAAGTTTTTTATAAGTTGTAAAAAAAAACTTGTCAACTTAAGCTTATGGTAAATAAAAAATATAAAATTTTCATTTAATCATAGCTAAATTTTAAAATGTTCTTTTTTGAAATATTTTTTATTATCTCCATTTTAACATGGTTGTTCTAATAAAACAAAGGTGGTTAAAATCTCAACTTTATGGATGACAATAAGGAAAATAAACACCAAAAGAAATACGCTGATTCATATTCTGCTGTATAACGTTTGAGGCTTTTCGTTAGCTGGAAGACAATAACGTGGATGGGGATGAATGTAAACGCTGATTCCCCATAGGAGCCATTCTGACACCATGTTCTGTGATTTTTATCAGGACTTTAATCAAGTTGAGCCGATAAGACGCTCAGCAGAAACATTTCTGCAAGAACACAGAAATGTTCTTCCAAATTATGACTTTGTTTATATACAAGGGAGCAGAGTCTCGGTATTGATTAAACTGCTGCTCACTTGTAGCATATTTATAAAACAATTATTTTTTATAAAACATTAATTTCAATAGTTGAATATTAGTATTTCTTCTCCATTTGGTTCTTTGGTGTCCCAATCCCTCGGGTTCTTCTTAAATAGTTGTATGATTCTTTTTATTTTTAGACTTAATATTTATTTATCTTTTACTGAATTATTTTTATTTTTTATTATACTTTATTTAAAGAAAATGACGTTTCTTGATTTTTTAAATGTATTTTATGTTATTTTTCTATTTAATTATACATTTTTTACAGTTAATTATTTTATTTATCTAAATTTGTATTTATTTATGCATTTATTTAAATATTTGTTTTTATTTATTTTCTTTCAAAAGAAATAGTTTCATGTTTTATTTTTTATTTCATTTTGTTTTTCTATTTTTCATTATTACGTATTTAAAAAATTTTTTTTATATATTTTTACTTCTTTTTAAAGTAGTAGCTTTTTGATTCTACATTTATTGGCGACTCTAACTCCACATTTTTCCATGGATTAAATGTGTAAAAAAGGTGGATGGTCAAACAAGCCTGGCAACCCAAAGACCGCTCGTTACCATTAGCTTTTATCAATAGATCTAGGTGATTTTTGCAGCAAAGCATCCTTCATCATCTTTACTGCGATATTTTGATCAAACTGAACAATCGACATCATCAGACTTCCATTTGTCACCATTTTGATCTTTTGATTCAGCTTTTAATAGACTATTAATCTCCCTAGTGAAACCTCTTTCATGAGTGCCTTCCTTCCTCTATGAGCTTTTATTACAACCCTCTTTAAAGTGCCACAAACACAGCAGTAAATCTCCCTCTGTGGGCGCTAAAAGGCTCACTTACAATCTCATATGATATCTCTGAATATCTGCGGCTCGTTCTGGCAGAAACAGGCAGATGGGAGTGGAAATGAGAGGCAACAGGGGAAGATATCGATCAGAAGCCATGTGAGCCGTGGTCAGCTGAGTGCTGTGTGTGCTCCTCTGTCTTCCAGAGGAAGGGAGTGACGTTTTAACAACCATCGATTGAACGGTAATGAACAGAAACAAAAACATTTACATGCTCTTAGAAGGGAGGCTCGTTGTATGACTGGTTTAGGTTTTAATTTGGACTTTTTAAAAAAAGATTTCCAAACATAACACTTCAGAAAAGAGATCATTTATGACTGCTTAACACAATTCTGTTAATGTGCTAACATCTGAGCTAATTTTTCATTTAGCGCTTTTGCTAACTTTGTAAACATTTAGCTATTTGCATCCTCTCATGTATGTTTTCCAGATAAATTCTAAAGTGCTAATTTACTTGGCTTTTTTGTAAACTTTCAATTGAATACAGTTCAACAACTGTATGGAAGTTTAGCTTAACGACTGTCCAGAATTGTTAGTTATCCGTTTATATTCATGGTTTTATTTTGAAGGAGGTGAAAACTTAACACAGAAGTTCAGTTTCCTCTCATCATGTAATCTCATAATCTCTGTCATTTTTTTTCCTCAACAATAAATTTATACAGAAACAAAATAAAACACAAACAATAGAAAGTTAGCGCTTTAACATTAGCTTCAGGTAAATACTATGTTACTGCCTTAGCATAATTATTATTAGGGTTGGGTATACGCTAAATACCATGTTGGTATACTAGTAGCATTAGCATAACTAATGCTTATGATTAGGAATTTAGGATTAGCTTCTGCTAAATGCAACATTAGTATAGTGCTTTAGCATAACTAATCAAAAATACAATGTTAGCATTAGCACAACTAATGTTTGCAATTAGTGCTTTAGCATTAGAATCTGCTAAATACTCTGTTGGTGTGTGCTTTAGCTTTAGCATAGCTAATGTTTATGATTAGCCAACTTACTTTTTAGTTAGTATTCCCCGCCGCGTTTAACCTCTTAGTCTGATCTCATGCATTTTCACAGTAGAAATATAACTAAAAATAAGAAGAAAATTAATTATTTTTCTACATAACTACGAATCCTAGCGTGCTCCAGATAACTGCAGATGTTTCTACAACTCCAATATAACTTTGAATGACGCTGAAACCAAATCTTCCGTTACCTGGTTGAAAACTCTCAATCTTCAGCTGCTTTCCAGCAAATCTAAAAATAAAATGTTGGTAACTTAGCTGATCTCAGGAAGGTCATGCCTGTTGACATTTAAGCAGTTTTCTTTTTTTATTATTTATTTTTGCAGGAGCATGCAGATAGGGACCGCTCAAAGCACCGAAATCCCTCTATAACCTTTTCTTTCCTTCAAGGGAATTTTTGCAGCAACTATATGTAGAACTGCTGGATTCATATGGTTCAGTAGTTCATTAAAAAAAAGAACTGGGTCATGGGCGAAGCTCGGTGCTAGTAGTTCAGAACCTCGGGGCAAGAGTTGGCTTTGAGATACTAAAGGAAACAGAAATAAGGTTTGTCTTTTTGTGTGGAGTCCACCTTCGCTAAGAGAAAGCAAATAAAGAGGCTAAAGAAAAACTTAAGGGTGTCCAAAGTACAGCCTGGGGGCCATTTGTGGCCCGCAGAAGAATTTTGGGCGGTCTTTGGTTACGACTCTGGATTAGTCTAAATTTGAAGTTTTCCCTGATGGCAGGCTGTTTAAAACAAAAATACTATTAAAATCTTATGACAGAAAATGGTGGAACTCTTTCAATTTAATGCAATTTATTAATAATAGATACTAAAAGCATCAAGTGTCTTAGAAAATATAAAACAAAACTGAACAAAATCCTGATCTTGTTACTGAAAAGACACAAAAGGTATACAACAATTATCAATAATCTAATATTTAAAAATTACATCATCATACGGATCCAAAAATAAAGTTTAGTGGAAATTTGGCTATTTTAAGAACCAAAGTTACAAAAATTTGTATAAGTAAAAAAATAGAAAAATCAGGCAACATAATTTTTTCCCAAATCAGTTTCTTTGAATAAAAATCTTATGAAACTGCAGGTGTGGGGAATTAAATACAAAATAAGCTGGTTTTACCATAAATGTTCTTCCTGTCCAGTTTTCTACTGTCTGAGATTCTTCTGAGGCATGAAACCTGTAAAGGAGTTTTCGTGATAAGATGGAAAACGTCCGGAGGGAAGTAGGCGCGGTTCGCCATCCCAGGTTCCCAGGTGGGTTCTGGACCCAAAGCTCGAGTGAAAATGGGAACCAAACAGACGTCAGACGATTGTTTTATCCTCTGAGGAGCCACAGACTGGAGATCCTGCTGCTTCAACCCACAAAACTACAACACCACTACACCACACCTGTTACAAATCACATATTTTACATAAACACTGAGTTATATTTAAGAGTATGTATTGGAACAAGACTTTCAAAACCCTATCGGTGTATTTATATCACATTTTATTGGGATTTTATGTAATGAATAGGAAGGAAAATGTGACAAAAATCAACAACTGAAAAGTGTGGAGCGCATATATCAGCAGTTTGGGTTGGATGTGTACAGTTATTTTTCTTTAATGTTTGATATTCTGTTTACATTTTGTTGTGTGGATATTCCCTGAATTTTTTTTTTAAGAATTAAAAGAAAACAAACACAACAATAGGTAAAAAATATAAAATATTTGTTGGTGATCTTTAATATTTGTCTCACTGGCAGAGTATTTCACTAATAAAACTGTTTTTCTATGTTATAGGGGAATTAATCTGCTAGTGGATCTAGCAATCTCTCATCAATATTCAATAATTATTTACTGAAAATAAGCTCCTTCTCTTATTGAAAGACAAAATAGTTTTGTCTTAATTCAAGTACACCAAGTCATTTGCACTCAAAACTAATAAAAAAATGTGCACAAATTTCATGCCATTTGCATCGACAAACGCAAAAATAACGTAAAAACAAATGTCAGGGGAGCCAGACTTAATATTGCTGTAATATTACAGCGATTTGTTATCTGACAGCAGAAAAACGGCCGGCCTCAACTGAAACCAGAGCGCAGATGAAAAAGCTCTGACTGAGATAACTTCTTGATTTGGTTTGGATCTTTCCTAGAAACAACCTCAGAGAAATCGAACTGGGCCAAGACAGCTGCAGTTAATGAATCGCTTCAATGTACCAGAAAGGATTTGGTCTTTTAGACAAATGTACCTGAGGAACCCA